TTATCACATGCTTCTTGTGAAGGTCCAATTCAATCTGAGGGTGAGAAGGGGCAGAAAATTAATGTCCTCATGGTTCATCCGATAGCTATTCACTGGAGAGCACAGTGCCACGCACTGGAATGTGACCATGACTTCCTTTTGTGAGGACTCGGAGTGGCCCAGGTGTCTGGTAAGGGAGCACATGATGACGCCAACACATATAGTCTGATTACAAGTCAATAATCAGAAAACCAAAGGACCAGGCAGTTCTAAACCAATCTCAAGGATTGGAAGAAAGTATCAGAAAATGTTCTCCTGGGTCCCTTGGAGTTGAGCAGGAACTGGTCAGTAGACACCAAGGTGAAAATACCAGCTCAAAGGCCATCCTGGCTGGTGTGAAGCAGGCCAGGCCCCAAGGCAGCAGGAGCTGGTAAGGGACAGACTCAACCCTCTGCCTGGCTCCCCAGCACTTCCTCTGCAAAGTAGGAGCTGTCAAACATGTGCTCCCCGTATTAAAGGACGCATGCTCTAGTAGANTGGATAAGAGCTTTCGTGGCTTGGACTGAATTCCTTTGCCTTGGCTGACTTTCTGAGGATAGGCCTGTACCACGTGCAAAAAGCATGCTTTCTGGGAAAACATGTGGTGTGTGGGACCCTCACTTTTAGAATCAAAGTATAATTCTTAACCCATGACGGCAGCTGGGGAACTGAGGTCAACGATTCCTCCCCAGTTCTCTCTGGGGGTGACAAGTCCCTCTGCTGAATCTGATGTCACCACAGTTAGGGAACCACCTCACCCAGCTTGGTGGAGCTCAACCATTCAAATCCCTCACTTTATAGGGGGAGCCGAATCCCAGAGACAGGGAGGGTGTGTCCAAACGAAGTTAAGTGGCAGAGCCAGTGTATTTAATGAGAGAAGCTGGTGGCCTCAGTGTGCGGAGGTGGAAACGGAAGCTACAAAGGGGAGGAGATGGAGCCAGTCCCTGCTTAGCAGTCATGGAACGTCTGCTGACCTGTGCCCGTGTGGCTTCCCTTCATCCTCACAGTGTCTCCAGCAAGTATGGGTTATTGCAACCCCACTTTTCAGATGGGAAAACTGACGCTTAGGGGGGTTGGGCAGAAGACTCTCATGGCCTGTATAGTGAGTCAGGGTCCCCATCCCAAAGCCACTCTACCTCCATTCTGCTGGGCTGTCAGATAATGGGTGCAGTCCATGAAGATAGGGCATCAAGCCAGGCCTTGTTTCCATGACTTTCCTGGACATGGGTACCCACTGGCCATTCCTGGATGGCAGAGAGCCTCCACTTCCTAAGTTCCCAAATTCAATGGAGATAGTGTTGAGGCAGCTCCCTTCTCTGCTTTAACCTTGAGCCTTCCTCGGCTCTTCATTTCCCTCCGCATGAAACCCACACCGTGAGCAATCCACTGGATCCCTAGCTGACCTCGCCCACCACACTGGCCTTTTCTTTCTCACTGCCAATGTTTATGCCATGTTGTTTCCTCTGCTTGAAAGGCTCTTTCCCCCTTCTAACTCCTCATCCTTTCAATCTTGTTGTAAATGCCCCTTCCTCTGAGAAGCCCTCCATGATCCCCTCTAAGTCAGGTGAATTTTTTCCTCCAAGGTTTTCATTGCTGTGGTAAATAAATGATTTTTAAAAGTTAACATTCTTGGGCCAGCTGAGTGGCTCAGTTGGTTAAGAGCATGAGCGCTAAGTAATGGGGTCGCTGGTTCGATTCCCACATGGGCCAGTGAGCTGCCGCTGAGCTGCCAACAGGTGGCAGGATGGCTCAGCTGGTGAGAGCACGTGCTCCTAACAACAAGGTTGCCGGTTGGACTCCCGCATGGGATGGTGTTCTACACCCACCCGCAACTAAGATTGAACACAGCACCTTGAGCTGAGCTGAGCTGAGAGGCCGCGAGCTGCCGATGGGTGGCTGGGTGGCGACTGGACTTGGAGCTGAGCTAGCTGCACCCTCCGCAACTAAGANCTTCCAGGGGAAGCACACAAGGCTGTTGAGGTCTGGCTCCATCTGCCTCACCAGCCTCAGCTCTTGGGGCCCCCCCACTTCCTGACATCCCAGCCTCACAGCCACTTGTAGTTCCCTGCACTCACTCTGCTCTCATGACTCGGGCCTGATTCTTCCACGGTTGCCTTGAACTAGAATGTCCTCTGCTTACCTCTACACCATCAAGTTCATGTCCATGTCCTTCCAAACTCCTCCATCCCAGCAACTCCTCTGGGACGCCTCCATGACCTCGACTGAGCTGGGGACACTGCCCCAATGCCACCTTCCCAGGCCTGCCCAGCACCCTGCATCCTGTACTGTAACAAGCTGCCCACTGTCTCCCCCACTGGACCAGGAGCTCCCTAAGAGTAGGGACCACCTCTAATCTCCACGCCCCCACAGGTGGACACGGCAGCAGATGTTCGATAAACGGTGGTTAAACAACCAAATGAACCAGGTCCCCTGCGTGGTGCTCTTTTCAGGTGTGGGGTGCTCCCTCTTGTCTCAACCCAGCACAAGATGCAAGTATAACAAGTCAGGAAACATGGTTTCATCTAGTTAGGCAAATCAATGCAAGGTTCTCCTTGGTTTTCACCTCTCGAAGTTTGGGGTCGTTCTTTTTCCAGTGTTCATACAAGAGCTGTTCAGCAATCTGTCAAAAAAGCATAAAAAAAGGACACCTGATGTTGCTTTTCAAATCCACTCGCATCTTGGATAACCCACAGTGGAAGTCAGCTCAGGTTAAGAGTTCTTCCACTGGCACACCATCACTGCACCTGCCCTTCAAACCTCCCTGCATTGCACCCCCAGGGGTCCTGGAGCCAGACACCTGAGTGGGACCGGACAGCATTGACAAATGACCCTTACAATGATGACGAAAGGGGGGCAAAAACCTGATGTTACAGATGGGTCCTAGGTGCTACGGATCTACTTAAAAATATACAGCAGGCTTAAAACCACAGATTGGGGCTCACCATTCCATGCAACTACTTTGGGAGATAACTACACCAGTCCCAGGCTTTGTGGGACCACAGAACTAGAATAAAGGAAAAAGGACTTTGGCGTCATGATGTAAAAGGCCAGAGAGAATAAAGATGACGCCTGCAAAACACACGTGAAGAACAACATAAGAGTAAGCAGTTTTCCCAGCTGGCTTTGCAGTTAACTGCTGTCTCATCAGACCTGAGTGTCCAGGGGTGACCCACATGTGTGTGTCACTGACAGGCTGGGGAATGCGCCTAAGGGTGGTGAGAATTTACCAGTTTCCTTTGCTCTTCCCGGGCTGACTTGAGATTCTTGTGCTGTTCCCGGATTCTTCTCTCCCGCATGTTCATGCTCAGCCTTAGCTCCTCCAGTTCCCTGGCCAGCAGGTCCTGCTCCTCCAGCAGAAGCTGCTGGAGTCTCTCCCGTCTGGCCTCCAGATGCTTCCTCTTCTCCTCCTTCATCTTCTCACGCTGGAAGGCGTGCATGCTGGGTGAGAAGGAGCCCACCATAAGTCAGTCGCGTGACAGTCAGATGGACCAGTCTGCTCTGCTGTGTGGGTACAGAGGCTGNGAGAGGCAGGAACAGATTTTCCTCTAGAGCCTTCCCAGGGAGCACAGCACTTGACTTTGCTCCAGTGAAACACATTTGGACTTCTGGACTCCAGGACTGTGAGGTTATGAATAAGTTTCAGTTGTTTTAAATCATCAGGTCTGTAGTCATCATCATGGCAGTCACAGGAAACTCATACTGGAAGTAACTTGCCCTCTGTCACATGGCTAGGAAGTGGAGGTTTGGGCTTTAAACAGAGTCAGTGCTCAATAAAGGTTACCTGTTATGGAGATGACCAGTTAGCTCAGTTGGTTAGAGCGTGGTGCTGATAACACCAAGGTTGCTGGTTTGATCCCCGCCTGGGCCACTGTGAGCTGTGCTCTCCCTAAGAGTCAATTATGTCATTGTGGCATGAAAGCAATGTGTAACCAATGATCATGGCTGTTCCCCAATTAAAAAAAAATGTTACCTGTTATTATATTATTACTATGCTGCACATGGGGAGGCTGAGTTATAGGATGAAATGTCAAAGGACCATGAACTTGGCCTACTTTGTCCATTCCAACAGATGTTGTTGGGAAGAGACAGACTGAGTCACCAGGATTTGATGATTCGTTTGGGGGAGAAGCTATTAACACTGGGTGGAGCTGGTTCAAGCCAATGATGAAACTTCGTAGGGCGAACACCTCACCCCCCACTGAGTCATTGCCAACCAGTAGAATTAACTCTACTGGCCAAGCTGGTCCTGTGAATTTGAGAGGTGGTTTGCGACTGATGGAGCAAGTATAATGGCCCAACAGTCCAAAAAGATGAGGTGGCTCCTCTGTGTCTGGCCGTATTTCCCCCGCAATACTTTATTTATTGTTTAGTCCTCTGTCCTCTTTGGTTCAGAGTAAACATTCAATAAATATTTATTGAATGCGTGAATATCTGCCCCACTACTCTAAGTAAAGACAGGAACTGATGGCCCATAGCTAAAGCCAGCTTGCCAAAGGTATATGTGGCTCCTCCCCTCCCCT